ATATCAATAATATTTTTAGTATATTTATAGATAAAATAATAATTTGATAAATATGACTTAGTATATATTAATATATTTTTACAAAAATATAAATATATAAGAAAATATATGTATATTTCTAATTAATATACTTATATTTTTGTAAAAGTATATTAATATATAATAAATTATATTTATCAAATTATTAGTTTATCTATAAATATAATAATAATATTATTGATATTAATTTATCAATAATAAAAATAATAATATAAAATTTATTTATTTAATAAAAATAAAAATATATTATTTGATATAATATCGAAAATTATAATATACGTTAATTTGAATAAATGAATAATTGTTTAATTTTAAAACATTATATATATATATATTAAAATTATTAAATTTTTAATGGGAGAGACTAAAATCACACTATTATGATATTCGAGGGACTAAATATAACATCCCAGTTTTATTTCATTTTTATTTTATTAAATTGAGGGTATTTTGGTAAATTTTATAAATGTATAGAGGTGATTTAGTAGCTTGGAACGAGCTGTTCCGAAATTGAAACGGGCCGTTCCAAACTACCAAAATATATGCGAGTTCGTTGCCCAGAACGGGTCGTTCTCACGTTGGAACGGGCCGTTCTGGACTATTAAAAACTGCCTTTAACTCTAAGTGGAAACGGGCTTGGAACGGGCCGTTCTGGTTTGAGAACGGGCCGTTCTGGATGTGATTTTTACCCATGATTCAAGGGTCCCAAAAAGCACACCTCTCATTTTCTAATTTCTTTTCTTCTACTCTCTCTTCTTTTCCCTCTACTTTATGCTTCAGACCGAGGGGAACTCAGCGAGGGAGACCAATCAAATCTCGTATAAATTCAGCTTCTACATATCCAGGTACGGGGGAAAATGGAATTATTTATATGTATAGTTACATGAGGGAATTGGGTAGAGGAAGAATCCCTTAGGATTATGAGCAATTTTATAATTATTTCTGTTTGGAGAATTATTGGTCTTATTTGATTCTGTATGAATTTAGGATTATGAATATATGATTTATTTGTAAAAATGATGCTCTCGGAGAGAAAAACGAAATTATAGAAAAGTGCCTGTAGACTAGGTTTTGGAAAAATTGGAATATTTCTTATATATATATACTTGTAACAATTTATACATCAATTTTTATATTTACTTTTCTTCATCATATTATCTATATATTTTAAAATTTTCTTTCTTTTTTTCTCTTGAACTCTCTTAATTTAATAAATTATTATACAACGTATTATTATATAAATATCATTTTCAATAGAAAATACACTTAATATGTTTTCTAACGTGTTAAATCTTTGTCAGATTACTCTAAGATGGAATCTTATAACACTGTTTGCGAAAGAAGAAAAAAATGCTACAAGAGGGAAACAAGGAATTTAGCATTAAATTAAATAATCAATATAATATAATTATATATATGAAAAATCAATAATAGTATTAATTTATTATATTAAATTGTATATTAAAAGCTATTAATTAATATTAATATTAGTTCATATTATTGTTAATATTAATATATCAATTAACATTAATTTATATAATATAAATATTAGTGTTATACATACATTTCACTTTCCAATTTATACTCTGAAAATTTGAATCATCCATCCAATTTCATTTTCACTACATTTTCTCTTTTCTTTTTTAATCGTATTATCCATTCCCTCCCTACTTTTTTTTACTAGCTCTCTCCTGATTTTGGAATGTCCACGTATGTTGAAATGTGAAAACGAACTAGTCGGTCCACGTATTCATGAATTTTCTTGGGCTAGCTAAAAACATTTTGTTCAGTTGTTCTCATTTAATCAATTTTTAGAAGAACCCCAATCAATCATAGGGTTACGTGGTGCAAAACCATATAAAGAATGTGAATTAATTGCATAAAAAAATATCAACGACAACGTAGTCTAGAAGGGTCAAATGTTTCAAAACTACGCGTGGAAGTTGCGAATTTCGAAGGATTACTAATGAAAGAGATTGCAACACGTGGCAGCCACATATAACATGGGAACACCGACATTGTTTTCTTATCTATAAGTCTATAACTGTAACGCGTTTGTAATGTAATTGTCCCACACGACATTAGAATTTCGATTGCTTTAAGGAACCTTCCCACAGCCCCTAATAAACCTATATATATACTACACAACCGTATATTCATTTTCATCATTTCCAACTTCAGATTCTCTTACAGTTGAATCAAAACCATTTTGCTTTGTAAGAAAAACACAACTTCTTCATCATCATCATCACCATGAGTCACTTCAACAATCACCAAGAAGCCCCTGGTGAGTTTTTATCATTCATCATAATGTTCCCTTTTGGGACAACAAAATTTGGTTTCCATTGTGATTTTTTTTTCTTCAAATAAAGATGAATTGACCATGCTTGCATTGTCAATGTTCGTTATCTTAAAATTCTTTTTTTTTTTCTTCCTTAAATTAATGTCATGTTTAGATTTTGCACAAAGCTTAAGCTAAAATTGATATGTTAATATTTCCATGTGAATGATGAATATGTTTCTAATGAGATGATATTGTGATGCAGCTGTATCATACCCTCCAGCTCCATATATCAGTGCCCCACCACCTATGGGTTACCCTTCGAAGGATGGTCCTACAGCTGTAGGGTACCCCCAACAAAGAGTTCCAGAGGAAACCAAAAGCAGGGGTGATGGGTTTTGGAAGGGATGGTAAGTTCATAGTCAAAATCAATCACTACACCTTATATTGAGTTTTAGTTTTTCATAAGCATGCAGCAAATTAAATCTTTTTTTTGACTCTTTTTTTTTTTTGTTTTCTTGCAGTTGTGCTGCTTTATGTTGCTGCTGGGTCTTGGATTGTTGCTTCTGATTGAATCATTGAATCATAGCACAGATTGTGTTTATCATCATTTGTTTTGCTTCACATTACTAGCTTCCTATTGTATTCTTTGTAGTTTGTAGAAGAATAAGGATCTTTGTCCTCTTGGACAGCGTGTATTATATCCCTTTTGTGGATGCTGTTTTTTATTCCCTATACTTTATGATGTATTTAATCAGTGTATTATTTGATTTTTGTTAATAAAAAAAGTTATGATAAGTTAGTTATCGCGTTTGAGAACATTCTAATGGTTGACATAGCTTGGTGTTTCAATCTCAAACACCTTGATAATTGCATCCAAATTCCGTAAATAATTGTATTGTCTGATTCGCTTTATACCCATATATTATAAATTATATTAATATGGAAAACAAATATTACACAATTGGTCCTACAACTTTGTCTGTATAAAGATGCGCGCAAGTGGCAATGTTGTGAAGTTGTTCTTTAAGTTTGCTAGTTGAGAAACATTGATATCCTTTTATATGGAGGAACATTGATTTTAGTTATTTAATGATTATATTTATAATTAAGAAATAAAATAACAGTTTGGATTTATTAAGTAATAGGTATCAATCTCGATGCAATCATTGTAAAAAAAACAAAAAAAAAACAAAACAAAAGTCATTGACAGGTGTTTAGGTGTAATTGGTATTATTTTATGCTTCAAAATAAAGTTTTGTTTTGATATTATGTGTTTAATGCATGTTTTTATTAATATATATTTATGAATACTATCAAAATAAAACTCTTTATCCAAAAAATTGTATACATGTGTTTTCCTAAAAAAAATTACTAATACTAGAGAGAAAATTTTCAAATGCTAGACTGTACGTGCACAAAAACTCAAGTCTGGATGCATCGACATTGAAAACATCAAACAACAATTCTTTAAGGTCTGCGTTCAAAATTCAAAATTACTCTTCGGTGATGAATGAATGCACTAGAAGTAGAAACAAAATCTAAAAGCGGTGAGAGAATTACAACACTCTTACAGTCTTATTAACATTTACAAATCAAGCAAAATCTTATTCAAATATTTCCCTAAAGGTAACCTTTAAACCTTTTTTTTTAATTCCTTGATTAGAACTATATCATCCAAAAACGTATATGGATTTTGGATATAACCTTTCAAGTATTGTCAATAATTAAATTCCTTTATAAGCATTTCTTAAAAAAAAATTTCTATAAAAAAAAATTATACATGATTTCCCTCAGTTTAGAATTCTCAATCTAGAAGTATATGTCTCAGGCTCACAGCATCAACAAAACATCAATTTAATTACAGGAACAGTTTTGAGATAATAATAATCATAAATCCATTATCGATTATTAAAGCTCAGTATTTTCAATCAATGATTCGATATAAATATAGATCATTTCTATGAAAATCTTTAAAAAATAATAAGAAAATTAAGCTCTTTATAAACATAAACTTCATAAATTAAAAAGTTAAACTTCTAAAGATGTTACTACTATAAAACTTTTACAAATTTACTTAATTTTAACTCCTGAAAAATTTTATTATTTTCACATTTTTTATTTTCTTCTAAGAAAGTGCTTAAGAAAATATTTAACCACCGCAAAACAAAATGCTTCATGGTACACACCAAACCAATAATGCATATTGGTAAGATGGCATGGATTGAAACAAGTGCTTGCTGAGATGCTCACTCCCAGCCTGAACTCAATCAGCATAAGATACACAACTTCAATAATAGGTACAGTGGGGAAAATAAACCAATAACGATGTGAAAACAAAAATAGACAACAATCAAAACGTTTTCTTCTCCACCTCACAAAAATGGTTCCCAACAAGTGTCTCCCTTCCCACATATCTAGATTCATCTCAGATTTTTATAATAACTGATCTTTTACTTCTGGTCTGTCTCTTATCTGTATTCAACTCAAATGGGGAGCAGGAGGGACATCAAGAGTGATTCCTGCTTGAATTTGGCCCCACCCAATAAGACGCCAATGCTTCTCCACACGTCGACTAAGTGCAATCTTCTCACCCTTGCTGGTGCACACAGGGGAAGTAAGTTGTAACTTCGCCAAATCATTCTTCACAGCAATAACTCTAGCCCCCGTTGACATTGATCCTATGTTCAACATTAACATCTCTCCTTTGGCAAGCTTAGATACCTTTCCCTGTCTCTCTGAGCCTTTTGTCCGGACACCAAGAAGCCGTCGAAGCAAGAAAAAGTTAACCTGCAAGACCAACAGGGAGAGGCAGAACTGAATTTCCATCTTTCATGAGTTGTGACAAAATAAAAGTTGACACATGAGACTGAATTAGGAAACATGTAGAGTTTAGAGTAGTGCACACCACTGACCAAATGCCCCCAGATTTTTTGCAAGCAAAAGAAATGAATGAAGATATTATATAAAGTAAGATCTTTATTCACAGTCCTCACTCATCTCATGAATAACAAAATTAGTAAAGTTGATTGATAACTCATTCAATTCATGGCAGGTTGGTATAAATGGATAATTAGACATAGGTTACGTAGCCACCTACCTCAAGTTCAACAAAAACCTCAGGCAGTGATCCAACCTCTCCTAGAACTTGACCTACCAACCTATCAGCACGTGTCAAAGTGGGATCCATTGTTGTCCCAACACCAATTAGGCCTCCAGGCACAGCAAATTGAAGCTCATTTTGTTCAGCATACAATGAAACTATTCTCGAGTATATAGGTGTGCATCTGATATTTCCACTCTCATCTTTAACAACAATTCCAGGTCGAACTTCAATGAATTGATTGACCTTCAAAACACCCTGTAATGAACAAATTGTTAGATGAGTCTGAAAAGAACAGATCAATACATTTGATCCCAAGACTCAGCCTAGAATGTACATGGTCTTTAAGCCACTTGAAAATTTATCATAACAAATTCAATAGATTTACCCACAACAATACCAAAGTTGATTCCCTTATTTTAGTTTGGAAATAAAATGGTATTCCAAGGAATATTGGAAAATTATAGACAAAGATTCCAAAAGAAAAAACAATGCAAATATGAAACAAAACATGGCACTTGTCTAGTGTTCATAATATAGAGCTTGGCATTATTTATAATATCACTTTTGAAATTATAGCATAGATTAAACATTTTAAAAATTATGCATTGAAAACACTAATGGGGATAATAATTTCTGCAAGTCGGTGCAAATCAAACATGATATATGGGGAATTGACCAGAAGGCTTACCCTGAGGATGCTTCCACCAGCCACACCTCCTTTTATCTCATCAACCTCAAAACCAGGCTTATTGACATCAAATGACCGAATTACTATCATATTAGGTGGAGAAATAAAGTTCCTTTCAGGAATTGGAATCTTCTTCACAATATACTCACACACAACATCAATATTATACTTCAACTGTGCTGAAATAGGCACTACTGGTGCACCATCAGCAACAGTTCCCTGGCAAGTCACAAAAGGGAACAATTATTTTGTAAGTTAATGAAAAAAAATTTAACTTGTGTAAAAGAAATCACTCTAAAGAAAACTTACTTGTATAAACTTTGAAATTGCTTCATGCTGATTGATTGCCACATTTTCTTGAATCAAGTCTACCTTATTCTGAAGGATTATTATGTGCTGTAGACGCATAATTTCCACAGCAGCTAAATGCTCAGAGGTTTGTGGTTGTGGGCAGCTTTCATTGGCAGCTATGAGTAGCAAAGCTCCATCCATGATAGCTGCTCCATTAAGCATTGTAGCCATGAGAATATCATGTCCCTAGAGAAATTGGAACAGTAAAAATAAATATCATACAGATGTAAAAGCAAACAAACAAAACATATATTAAATGATTTAGCATTTGATTCAAGACCTGTAATTACCTGACTTATAAAAAGGATACCCATAGAAATATTTTAATGCCACATCATACATAAAAGAGTAAAAGCAAAAAATACGTGAGAAAATCTTGGGTGCTCCATTAAGTAGGCCCACTGGTTGGAATAGTTAGTCAATCAGCTAGTTAGAGATGTGCAAGGATCAGCTATAAATAAGAGAAAGAAGGATTAACACGGGTTACCCCCTAATGTAATAGTTTTCTATCAATACCATAACAATAATAATTTTTCCCCATTAGGTAAGATCAGTTACCTATATCTCATGATCCTGTTGGGCTATGTTAAATATCAAATCCGCAAGGATATTATTCACCACAAGATCCCTCTTAATAATTTCTTCAATGTCTTTGACTCCTTGGTCTCCCTCTACCCCTTTTCACATAACTAAAAAGCATGCAATCTACTTTCCTTACTAGTACTTTGAGTTACTTTCCTTGCACATATCCAAACTACTTTATAACTAATTTTCTGTCATTTTCCTAGATGAGTCATATCAATGTACTCTTATGCACAAGGATTTCATATACTGTACTTTATTGTATGGTCACATTCATCTTTATTCAATAAACACAATTTTTGTTCAGTATTTTGAACCAGTAAATATCATGATCCTAGAGCTTCATATTTTTCTTACTTAATACCATTGAATGTATACAACTTCTATAGCATTATATGAGTGTGTTTGGTCCAACTTATTTTTTACTTTTCCTTAGATAGAGAAATTGGGTCAAAAACTCTTCATATAAAAATACTTCAATAGCTTTTAAAAGAAAAAATACTAAAATGAGTAGCTTTGATAAATATATAATATTATAAATTGGTTAGTGTGTGTTGTGCTGAGGCAATCAGATTAAATATCTTTGATAAATATTATATATTATTTGCAAATTATCATTAAATAAAACTATCAATTAAAGTAATTTTTGACATATTCAAAAATTAAAAGTTTTAAATGCCTATATTTTAATATTTTTATTATCACTTGTAAATATGCTATTTTATTGGACAAGAGAACAAATCTTAAATAACATGTGAAATATTTTACTAAACTTTTAACTTACAAAGAGCTCGAGTTAAAAAACACAAAGTTGACAAGCAGCTTCTAATTTTAAGTTCTTATTTTCAGCATTAATTTAAAAGTAATATTTAAATAAAAAAGCTGGGCTAAATACCCTAAGTGTAATCACAGACAGTAAAGACTAACATAGCTGAGAGAATATATATTTATTGGTACAGAACAAGGGATATCTCATGCTCAGGAACACCGAAGAAATTTTCAATGTGTATATTCATGCATATATCATGCATATATGCACACAATACCCATATCTTCTTGCCATTTAAATTGGGAGCAAATGTGACAAGGAGA